GGCCATCCATACAACTTGTGCTTTGCTCAATAGCTTAGGCCTACGTATTAATACTGAGAAATCTTCTCTTCTCCCGACACAGATGCTCACCTTCATTGGAGCCCTCTTGGATTCGACATTGTAAAAAGCCTTCCTCCCTCAGGACAGACAACAGACTCTTGCTCGCCACATCCATCGGATCCGACGAGATGGAACGGTCCCAGCGAAGTCTATCCAGAGGATCCTGGGGCATATGGCCTCCTCAGTTGCCATAGTTCCACATGCCAGGCTTCGGCTTCATCCACTGCAACTCTTTTTCAACAAGGTGTACCATCCTCAAAGAGATCTGCAGTCGAGGCTGATTCAGAACCCATCTTCCGTGCTTCACTCTCTGCTTTGGTGGCTGGAACCGACCAATCTTACGATAGGAGTCCCCTTCAGGGCGCGACCTCCTACGATAACCTTTGGCACCGACGCGTTTCTTCTAGGATGGGGAGTGATATGCTCTGGCCTATCTACCCAGGGTACGTGGAATCGTTGAGAATCCATGAATCATATCAACTTCCTAGAACTACTGGCAGTTTTCAAGGCCCTGCGCTATTTCGAAGACATCCTTCATCATCAGATCGTTCAGATAACTTCAGACAGTATAGCTACCATCGTTTATCTGAACAAGCAAGGGGGAACAAAGTCACCAACTCTAGCCAGACTTTCTATGAAAATTTGGGACTGGTGCATCTGGAGACACATCACGCTGATGGCTGTTCATCTAGCTAGTGTGGACAACGTGCAGGCGGATCTTCTCAGCAGGCACATGTTCACCTCTCACGAGTGGGAATTGGATCCTCGTACACGCAACCACCTTTTCCGGTGCTGGGGGTTTCCCGACATGGACTTATTCGCCACCCAACAGAACAGGGTGTGTGAGGCTTACTGTTCGAGAGCGGGAATTGGACACGCATCCCTAGGGGACGCATTCATGATCCCTTGGAACAATATGAACTTCTACGCCTTCCCTCCGATCCCTCTTCTGATGCAGGTCATAGCAAAGATAGTGTACGACCAGGTATCGGGGATGCTAGTTGCCCCTTGGTGGCCACGTCAAACGTGGTTTGCGAAACTACTCGACATCTCTCGCGGGGAATTTCTTCATCTACCATCACTCCCATATCGTATAACACAAGTGGGCGGCACACTTCGCCACCCGGACTTGCTCTCATTGCGTGGCGAATTCGATGATTGACATTCCATCGGTGCCGACAACGATTTCGAGAGTTACGAATCCAACAGCTTCTACTAATCCATCGGTACCGGCGATGACTTCGACCACCTCGGATCCAGTTGTCGAATCCAATCACTTGGGTGCTTCCCCTTTCTCTGGTCTCTCTGTATCATCCGGTTCGAGACAAGACCCGTCAAATCCGACATTTTTGCACCCTGATATTCAGCATATCATCGACTCTGCCTTAAAGCCGTCCACAAGGAAGTCATATGAGGCTAAATGGAAACGTTTTTCCACCTTTGCCGAGTCTCGTTCGTTCTCTCCATTCCTCACATCCATACAACAAATTCTTCAGTTCCTCTTGGAATTGCACCATTCTGGATTGAAGCCGTCATCCATTAAAGTGTATACAGCCGCAATAGCCTACTACCGTGGCTTAGTCAACGGATCACCTCTGTTTTCTCATCCTATCCTCAAAAGATTTTTGAAGGGACTATATAATCTTAACCCATCAATTAGACCGGTGATGCCCACATGGAGCCTTTCTGTAGTTCTACAGGCCCTTATGAAGGCCCCCTTTGAACCTTTGGCGACGGTGGATCTGTGATGGTCTCTTGGAAGACGGCATTTCTTGTGGCTGTCACTTCAGCCCGGAGGGCCAGTGAACTTTGCGCTCTTCGCATAGACCCTCTTTATTTAAACTTTCACAGGGAGAAGGTCGTTTTATGCCTCGACCCGTCTTTCTTGCCTAAAGTGTCTACACCTTTCCATATGGGACAAGACATTGTGCTGCCTGCCTTTTTTCCTTCACCGTCGACTCCATTGGAAAGATCTTTGCATTCACTCGATGTTCGGCATTGCTTAACCTTCTACCGATCGCAAACGGAGTCTATTCGATGATCCAATAAACTATTCATCAAATATTCTGCTAGGGATCAAGGCGATCCAGTCACTCCACAGAGACTTTCTAAGTGGATAGTCAACACTATAGTCTTATGCTATCAATTAGCTAAGCTCGAACTGCCTTCAGTTCCTCGAGGCCATTCTGCTGGAGCCGTTGCAACCTCGTCTGCATTCGCATCTGGGGTTCCGCTTGATGACGTCTGCCGAGCCACTACTTGGCGAACCCTTGCACCTTCGCCAGGCACTACCATCTCGATGTTCGAGCTCGATGGGATTGGTCCTTCGGCAGAGCTTTTCTCTCCTCCGTTCTTCAATGAGGACACCTTCCCTCCTCCTGTATGGTAAGCTTGTTAATCTACCCATATGTGTGATGCACAGAGGCCACGACGAAGAAAAGCAGGTTGCTTACTTGTAACTGATGTTCTTCGAGTGGCCATCTGTGCAGTCACACAACCCACCCGCCGGCCCCGCTCGGTGTCAGTGAGTGGATGCATCTTTCGGTACCGACCATGCCTTTTTTTCATGGTACCGACTCAAAAAACAACAAAAAACAAAGTTTTTTTTTCCATAAAGTGGCATACATTCGGTCACAAAGACTGAACAAAATGGCGGACGCTCCAGTCTTTATAGGCCACAGGGTGGAGGGGGAGCGGAGCTTCCCACCAGAAACCGTTAGCTGACAATCTTCCGGCCACAGGCACTGTGCAGGCGCATACCCATATGTGTGACTGCACAGATGGCCACTCGAAGAACATCAGTTAGAGGTAAGCAACCTGCTTTTCTTAGTGTACCACTAGCAAGTTGTGAACAGAAGATTGCTGAAGACAGTCAGGACTTTGTAGCAGTAGCATTTCTCTGTCCAGAAACACTTGGATCTACCAAAGTATCTAGATCCATTGTGCCAGGGTCACACCTGCAGCCAGTTATTTTCCATTAGATGCTAAATGGAATCCAGTCTGGTATAGAAAGCAGCCCTCCCCATGTAGTGTAAGCAATTACTGTGTCATTTAATCCATCAGTCTTTATTTATGTAAGCCCATTTGGAAGATAATTGTCTGAAAAGTATGATAAAATCTAGCATAAATAAATACATATAAAACCCAAGAGATGCAGACAACAGTCCTGGATTTAAAAAAAAAAAAGGAAGTGAATGTGTTTCGCTGCATGATAGCATGACTGCTTATTAGAGATCTTTCATCTTGGAATTGAGAATGAAGATTAAGAATTACCTTTTCATTGGTCAGTTATCATTATAGTACTTCAAGTTCTCAACAAGAATATCTTTGGAATCCTGACAGTCATCTCAACATGAAATTAAGTATCAGTTAAAGATATACCCAATTTAAAATTTTGTTTCTGCAAAAAAGAAATGAATTGCATGTATTCTATGCATTTTTTTTCTTTTTCTTTGAACTATGAGGTGCTTCTCTGACCTGTTCTTAAATCCTTTTCCTGAATTAAGCAGCCTGGGAGCTGCTGCCACAGCATATTTTATTCATTCTGTTTAACTACAGTACCTGTTTCACCTCTTCATCTGATTGGCAGTTCAGAGATGCTCTGCCTTTTGTAAGTAGGAAAATGGTTTTCTTATTGAGAAAATTGATCCTTTGAAGCTTTTGTCCTGAAAGCCATGGTATTTCAAGATGTTTAATGAAACAGGTTTCATATCAATTTTGTGGAAAATTAAATAATGCATCTTGAATAAACAAGGTACATTTTGTGCATTGTTACAGTGGCAACCTTCATACTTCTTCCTCTTCCCTACAAAATAACTTAGCTCTGAATGTATTAAAAAGTGTAAAGAAATAGTGAAGTTTGTCGACATTCTTTTTTCAACCAGGTGGTCACATTGTAAACCTAAAAAATGTAAAAACAGTCACACTGAACTAAGCTAATGATTCACTCATCGATTAATATTGAAGATGCTTAGTTTGTGAGCATTTTCTTATTAGTCTTTCTGGTTATTTAAATTCCAAAACACTGCAAGAATTAATACAAGTAACTACTTAGCAGTAAAATGATTATGTTAATCAAGATACTGTTTTGCATGTTCCTTTCTATCATGAGGGGTTATACATGTAAGCATTTTTTTCTTTTGTTTTGTTTTAAAGTAATGATTCTGTACATTTCAGGTTTATTTTCTTGGTATTAATGCCAAACCATTCTAATATTCATCTGGACTATAATGAATTAGACTACCACTTTTACTGTATGCTACTCATACTGGGAAAAAGACAAAAATGAATAAAAGAAGAAAGGAATATACTGTACTGACTTAATTCTTGCGAAGGAATAATGCTTTAACTACTGCAGTCGTTATCCCCCCCCCCCCGAGGATGTAGGAATGGTACCAATTGCAGAGTTCTGTGAAGTTACATCAGGAGAACTGAACTATGATTAAATGGTTGTTTATTACTAGTTTATAAAATGGAAGGTTGTAGAAAGACAAAATAAGGCCACGGGTAGTTTAGTGCATAAGATTATTGTGACCATAAAAACTAGAATATTTTTTTCACTATGTTCAATTATAACTTCTAAACTTGTTTTCTTTTAAACATATTTTAGATCGAATTGTTTGCATCTTCAGTTAAAACAATGGGTTAAATTCAAACATATCAATAGAAGTCTTACAACGGGACTTTGTATATGAAATCCCTCTTTGGCCTTCCTTGCCTTCTGAATGTTTCCTCTGGGTTTCCTGCCATGCAGAGATTTTGAGGTGTGCACATGGAACAGGGGGAGTGAGAGGTAGAATTGCTTCCTTTCCACCTCTATTAGCAGAAGTTGTTCTGTCAGTGGAATTAGACCATTCATTCCAAGTCAATGGTAATAACTTCTCATTGTGAGATATATGTTTCATACACATGGATATATGTTGCATATCATTTTTTTTCAGCTGATGAAAATTTGGACATCAAACCCCTTTCACCTGTACAGCAAGTTGGCATTAAAATGACAATCAGGTATATTGGTTTCACTTGGAAATTTAGGATCATTATTTATATGCTGTCTTGCAAGGCAGTCAAGGTGACTTAAAAGTTCTCTCCATTTGATCCTCACAATAAAAATCCTGTGAGGTAAGTTAGTCTGAGAGTATGTGAGTGCCCTCAAGTCACCCAGTGAGCTCCATGGCTGAGCAGGGACTAGAACTCAGAGCTCCTGAGTTCCAGTTCAACACTCTAACCACTGCACCACACTGGCTTGCTGCATTTTTATCCAGAGTTTCTCCTTTGATCTTGCCACTGTTCCAAAACTGTACATCTCTGAGAATTCACTTGAATATTTAAATGTTTCTTGAGCAAATGAAGTAGCAAATACAAGCAAGTGTGCAAGGCTCTCGCAAAGGACAGCATATAAATAAATAAATAAATGTAAATTCTTGTTTACTTATTGGGGCATATGTTGGATCAAAATTAATGCACAGAGTTAATATCTATAATAAAACTTTGATAATTCAATGCAATGTTTTATTTATTTAGAACATTTACATACTAGTTCATATCTAAACATATCTGGAGCTGTGAACAGTAAAAATATTAGTATTGTTATTACACTGCATTTTATGTTTCCTTCTTTTCCTCTTGTGAGAAACCCAAGGCGGCTTACTTAGCTCAGTTTTATCCTCAGGACATCAAGCCTGTGATGTAGAGTAGGCTGAGAGTGATTGGCTGGCCTGATGTAACCCAGATGAAGCGTAGCTGGTTGTAGTGTAACCTGAAGATGGCCATCTGTTGGCAACCTAGAAGCAGGTTTTTTCCATGATAGCACCTATTTTATGGAATGGCCTCCCAGCTGGTACTTGGAAAACCCCCCACTGTAGTGTATTTTAGGTGCCTGTTAAAGACCTCTTCACCCTCACTTTCCCTGATGGCATTGGCCAGTTAGTCATTAGTAATTGTTATGCTTTTAGCTTTGGTTTTAAGTACTGTCAGTGTTTTAAACATTTTTAATTGATGTCAATTATCTCCATAGATAAGTTTCACTTAGAGATATTGGTGAAGGGTAGTATCTAATACTGCTGTTGCACTTCCATGCTTTCCGTTGCACCATTGGGATCCAGTGCTGGCTTTGTGGGGAATTAGTGTTTCCTAAGGCAATCCCACGACAAATGGAGCTACTCATTTTTGGATGAGGTCGGGTCAGTAAGCAGTGAGCCCTGCTTACCTGCCCATTCCCAAAAGGAGAAGGAAGGGCTCCCTTTTACATCTCATGCAATATTCACGGGGATGCCTATGACTTAAAAAGTCCTGAAGAGCGTAGGTATCGCATTCAGTAAGTGTTTCCTCTCCACTTCCCACACCTAGTTGTGGCCGCATGTCCATATGCTTCTGATTCCCCACACGCCTGCTCACCCTTTCCTGGTGCTAGGCACAAGGAAGGTTTGGGGTTATAATGTACATCAGGGGAATAATACCTACAGCTGAGATTAAACCTGGCGGATTGGTACATATGTCATCCATTATGAAACAGGGTAATTTTGTCAAGGTAGCCAGTGTTTTGATCTGTTATACTGTATCTGTACATAGTATCTGTATGTCACACAGATAGTAGCAGTGAGTGTGGGCCTTATTCAGGCAGTATAATTACTTCATGTAGATTTTTTAAAAAATCAAACATGTAAGTACAGACTAGAATTCAAAGAATCATGAAGGCAGACATTCAAGAATAGACCTCAAGCCATGTGGCAAACTTTGCTAAATAGATTTCTGGCACTTCCACACTTAATGTGCTGTAGAGGTAATTCATAGAATAGTAGAGTTGGAAGGGGCTACCATGAAGGCCATCAAGTCCAACTCCCTGCTGTTGCAAGACACCAGTTTACAACATCTCATTCAGATGGCAGTCCAGTTTCTTTTTGAATGTCTCTAGTGCAGGAGAGCCCATGAAATGGGCACTTTTCAAAGAAAATATTAAAACATGCAATTGGGTCAGTGCGAGGTATTTACAATGAGTCTGATTGGCTTTCTGTGTGTCACATAGAATGTTGTGCAACTGAGTAAGTATTGCATTTACTTTGGTAAATATTATCAAAGTTCAAAAGAAAAACAACTAAATTAAAACATTTATGATATGGACATCTTCCTAAGAACATTCTTCCACAAGTGGGCTACACATCTCTCACATTATTTTCTGATGGGCTCTGTCCTGTTAGAAAATAATTAAATGAAAATGTGTTCTTCTGATTAAATTTTTTTTTTCTTTTTAGTTATGGTAACCATTTGGACCTACTGAGAGAAAATGCTGAAAAAGATCTGTGCCAAGTATTGATGTATTGTGACAAGTATTTGAGACAGCAGCAAGCACTTTTAACAACTTCATTACGTATCCTTTTGTCAGAATTAGATTAAATTCAGCATGTGTTTTGACAGTATAACTGTCAGAATAATTGTTCATGCATTGTTTTTGAATTTAAGATTGCACATTAAATAAAATATATGCATCATTTTGCCATATATGCAGGAATTTCATAAAAGATCATTTACTGCACAGGCATGTTTCAGAACAATTCATCTTCTATCCAAGTTTCTGTTCCTGCTCAGACTTTTTTTTTTTAGCTTCAATGCCTTCCCCATTCATTTCAGTTTAGGAAGCAGATCTGCATGCATGTGCCATGTATACATATTCATGTTCAGTGTTGAAATGAATGGGATACTCTGAATAGGAAGAGATTTGTGTGATGACACCTATTTACTATGGGGTTACCACTGTTTCATGTTACTATTTGCATTTTGCATTGAGTAGTGTTGAATTTTCTTAACCTACCTCTACAGGTAGTCTGCAGGGAGGATATACTAGCTATGATTGGTTTGCATCTTCAGTATTTCTAATAATGAAGGGTGACAGGGAGAAAACATTAAGATTTCTCCACCAGTTTTCCCATCTACTTGTTTCAGCATTCCTTTGGATACCACGACTGCATTGTTCGGTAAGACTTCAAAAGAGGTTTCATCTTGACAACAATGTTTTCAACATTTGAAATGAATATTCATTGCAAATGTTCTTTTAGAAAAATGTACTCAGAATTTTTCTGACTGAATGTTTGCCCTATAAATTTTCTTTCTGGAAAATATGGATTTGACATCTTTGTAAATGGTTGTCTGGCAGCAGAGGAAAAAACCAGGTAGACTGATAGTGTTATTGAATTTTTAAGTGAGCAATAAAATGCACTTTATTAGTAGTGTTAAATTCTGTGTGTAGGCAGAGAGAACTATTGAATGACCTTTTTATTGTTATTGCTCTTTGCAAGCTCATTCTTTAAATTATTAGCTTTGTTTTATTATAAAATCATTAAATGACACAAACTAGCAATGATGGACAGAAAAAAACAGCAATTAAGGGAGCAGTTCTATGCAAGCTGAAATAGAAAACAACTCCCACATTTGCAGCATTTTTTCCATCTGAATATACATGGAATTACCCTAAGGCAGATAGCATTTTCAGGTGTATCCACTATCTTATTTATTATCTTTTTAGCATTTCAGATTATTACCTTAGTTACACAAGTTTCTTTTAACATATAAACTACCATAAATTAGGTATTCTTGTATACTCAGTTTTTAATATGCTTTCATCATCTGTCCCAACCAAAATTTATCATATTTTAGAAAATTATTAAATGGCCTCCATTGTGTTTTTCCTTCTTTTGATAGCACTAAAATAAACTCTCTTTCCTTAGTTATAGCAAGTTTATCAAAAAATACCCTGATTATAGATTTAGGCAGACACAAACTCGTATGTTTTTCCAAAAGATTTTAAGTTTGTTATTCTCTTGTTTCTTCATGGTTCAGATCCACCTGCCTGATAGCACAGCTGTATCTGGCATCCATCCAGTCTATTATTGTAGTGCACACTATGTTGAGATGTTGCTGAAGGCTGAATTGCCTCTTGTGTCTTCTGCTTTCCGTATGTCTGGCTTTACTTCATCACAGGTAATATCAAAATCTAGCCCAATGAAATTTTGAGGTGGTTACATTGGCCACAGTTATACATTAAACAATGACATAATTGTTGCCAAAAATATTTACAATGCAATCTGATTGAATTCCAAAGGCCTTTTTCCTAAGTAAGTAAAGGATCACAGCTGAAATCTCTTCAAGAGCTGCACTACTATAAGAAAACCAACATTTGAAATAAAGCTTTAATTCTCTTAAATGAAAACTGTAGTGGTAGAAATGAGTTTCCTATGTTCCTAAATACAAAGTAGTGGTCAGAGTTACTACTAATTAATAGGAGGGAAGTACCAAAATGAGTGAGCCTTTTGAAATTGAATTGCTTTTGCCTGATCTTTATGGCAATACTAGGTATCAAATACTAGGTGTGAGACCTGAAAAAAGGAAATGCACTATAGCTGCAACCATGATAAAATATATGTACACTTCTGAACAACAGTGGAGCTTACTGCTAATTAAAAATGCACAGGGTTGGACTCTGTGTTAGATTATGACTCTTATGTCATGATTGTGTTACTGCACGCAAATTTAGAAAAAGTAGTGAACAACACCTTTGCTACCTTTACTATCTTAGTGTATCTATTTCCTCCATTCCCCCAGTACATCTAATTTAGCGTAAACCTATTCTGCAGCTTACCTTACAGTCAAGTTAGAAACATTACTTTTGAATGATTCACATTTCTAAATCACTTAAAGAGTGATTAACAAAAAATAGCTAAATGAAATGCATCACAGATTAAGTAACAAGCCCCTCCTCCATTATTAAAATTGTATTTTCTATAATCAAATTAATGGACATATGGTGTGTCTGGTTAAAAGGGGTCAGAACAAACTTTAAGCAAATACTTATTGCTAATTTTACAAATTCAACTTTCCTTACATTTATGCCTGTATAGTAATTCTTTTTACCTGTGGAACTCTTATCATTGTCAATAACTAGGTTTTGTCCTAAGTCAGAAATGTGTTTATTCATGCGTTGGCTGGAAGGGCATGGTGAACTAGAAAGGGTCTCTTGGAAGAAGACGATGTGATATAATTTCCTTCTTCAAATTCACAGCTGACTCCAGCCTTGCCATGTTTGTGTGATGCTTGTTCCCCTGGCTGTTCAGGTCAGAGTAGGCATAAATAGTGGAGGTTACAGATCCTACATTTATTAATGCTATTGGATGGTCAGGAATAAATCATACTGATGCTTCCTTGGCTATTGCATTGAATTCTTTCTATCACTTTAATTTAGGAGTGCAAAAAATTCAGCCCATGTACTTAATGTAGCCTGCCATGCATGGTGTCCCACAGGCCTCTCTGCTGCTGCCACTGAGAAAAGAATGGCAGCATTGCCTGAGATTTCTCATTAGTACTAGCAAGGAAATTCTTTTATTTCATTGGAGATTAGAGATAAACAAGGTTTCCCTTGCTACTGGTAACAAGATAAATGCTAGGATTATTTGTGGATGCTTTGTCATAGAAGGAAGTCAGCAGAAGCCAAAGTGGTAAGTCTCAGTCTCAGTGTTTTGTCTAATGGGTGACAGGTTGATTCAATTTGATATGATGACTAACAATCATGGGGTATATCAGAAGAGAGCATTAAGCATTGGCTAATTTATTAGGAGAACTAAGGATTTTAAGTAGTGAGTAAAGTTCCATTTTTTCCTCTCCTAGGTCTGTCAGCAGTGGCTAACTCAGTGTTTCTGGAATTACATGGATTGGAGTGAAATTTGTCACTACATTGCTATTTGTATTTTCCTTGGTCCAGATTATCAGATATATATGTGTATATCTGTGTTCAAACATTTACAACAAGAAATTCTTCAGCATACGCAGACTCAGGACCTCCAAGTTTATCTTAAAGTAATTCCTTCCTTCCTTCTTTTATAATTTAGAATAACAGAATGAAGCTAAATATTTTGGGACCAAATTTTTGGTACTACCAACCACGGACAACCTTCAAAATATATAATCTTCCTTTTGATTATTTACATATTTAAAATTGGACAAAGTTATATTTTAAGTAGGCTGATTAAATTTAATGGAACTTAAGTTACTCATGGTTATTGATGCTCATTGAACACACTGACTGGGTTTGCATGACATAACAACTCGAAATGTGTTGCACGTGATGGGTTGTCATGTGAACCTGAACCGCTTCTCTCAGGGGGGCTTACCTGAGGTCACTAAGCCACTCTTACAACCATGGGTTGTTGTAGAGATTATTACCATAATGAGTTGTTGTGTAGTCATTTTTTCCCCCTGGAGACTTCATGATACCTGCTTTGCCAGCTGTGGACTTCAAAATGCTCCAGTAGCACCTTGGAGGGACAGCCTGTAGTTGCCAAACATTTTTTTTAAATTGTCAACCCTCATTTTATATAATAGAATATGTTATATGAAAAGTACACAGTGCTAAATACATGGAACCAATGTAATGCATGATTAAAATGGGATGCTTAGTTTGAAACTCCAACTCTATGAAAAGAAATATTCAATCTTTATTGGCAAACTAGCTTATATTACACTCCTTTAAATCCTTCTATGGATGCTAAAAATATGTTCATTTTGAAATACTCATTCTATGTGCTGACCTTATTTTATTAATTCCTCAGGCAAATATTTAATTAGAGAGTCAACCAAAGCATGTGTGATTATTTTCCTCTTGTGTCTTTATGTATATTGTCACTTTCAATAGGAACAGAACAAAGTAAGTCTCAGTGGGGGGAAAGAAGCTACTTTTGGTAAAGGTTAGGTAGAGAATGCATTATCTTAATAATATGCATCATTTCCTAACTAACTATACTTTTCTGTTGTGTGATATTCAGGAAGAAGCATTCCATGGATTTCAAGTGAGTGATTATTTCAGATACATGGAAAACTTGGCTCTAACCTATAGACCAGTGCTTCTGGGAGACATGAGGAACATTAGAGTGCAGAACACATAGATCAAGCAAATGAGCATCTCATTTCAAATTTTAGTTACGTTCTTAAGGGGACGCTGATTGTTTGTTTTATATCCTTCTCCATAAAAATGCATTTGTTTTGAATGTACATACTGCCAAATCAATAATAAGGCTTTTCAGCATACTGCTTGCACAAGACGACATCCTCTAAATGGGATCATCTGAAAAATAATGTGTTTTTCTAGCCATGCGCCATAGCCTTGTTTACACTTGGCTTCAGAACCTGTCCTTGAATTACTTTAAATGACCTGCTTATATTTTCTAGGTGTAATTTCCATATTATTAAACATTGCTTCCTTTCAACTCCCACCTAAAATTTCTAAATTACATGCAGGTTTGGCAATAAGGAACAGTAATTTGAATACCCACTTTGAAAACCCAGCCTTTGTTAAGAGTGATAAGTAAATACAGAGCTACTTCATTGCAGGCAGGAAAAATGACCTTGGGAGGTCAGGAAATACAGTGTTACAGATGCTCACTTTCTGAATGTCTTCCTCTGATGGAGAATGAAAGTTTTGGGATTGCTTTTTGCTGTAGTCAGTTTTAAATGAACTATACTAATATTTAAAGTTTTATATATTGTTGAAGTGAACAAATTAAAATTGCAATAGATAATACCATACGGCATTGACTGTGGGTTTGTGATTTATTTTTTATACTAACATTCAGGGAGTTACTCTGATGAATATTGTTAACAGTATTTTCATTTAAATTGGAGTGCACTAGCTGCATACCTCACCATGATATCTTTAACTGTTTCTTATGACATATTTGTTTGTGGCATGTTTTAGACTCTATTCCATGAAAGGCGTATATGTGTGTACAAAATGAATTATCTTTTGAAAATACAAAAGATTTTGTTAACTTGCAAATACTAATAAAACTTTTCAAAACAAAGAACAAAGAGGAGTTAAGCAAATCCCTCTCAGTTCAAATCACTGAGAAAGTGCTTAAATTCAGCTGGATTATGTCTCCATGACAGAAGGTTGATATGTTTATATGTGCAATGGTGAATATTTTTGGTCTAATATCCTAAAAAAACCCTGCTTTTCAGACAAGTTTTTGTTCACCTTAAGTAGTATAATTAAGATACTGATAGCTGCAATCAAAAAGTGCATTAACAATTTTTTCTTTGGGGGACAGCAAATAACTGTAAAAGTTTGAATTCATGCCAGTTAATGAAATGTAAGTTGGATATATCCCAGTGCTTGTTGTCTGTGTTATATTTCTGTGTTACATTTTGTTTCTAAGATGTTGCTTGTTACTCGGTAACTTTCAGCTCTCTAGGAAGCTTGCAAAGTTTGTTCAGGTTTTTTGCAGCAATTAATGCAAACTTAATGAAATGTCAACAGGTACCCAAAGGCACATTTTAAGAAAGCTACACATTACAGTGAATAGTACAAAGTTATGATGCTTTCTTGTCTCATTAATTCCTGATACTTTATTTAGTGCAATAAATACTGTGCTTTCTTCCTCTTTCTTTCTTTTTAAATTGCAGCACCAGTAGGTCCTGGACTACTGTTCAAGATATATTAATACAGCTTCTAATAGGTACATACTTTTCAAGAAATTTAGGAATGTAGATACTCTGCTCTGGAAGTCAGGGCAGAAGAAAGAACAGAACAAAGAAAGACCTGGGCAGTGTCTTTAAGCAGGTGTTTTGGATGGAGAATTCACAAAGTTAAATACATTTTCCTGCCTCAGCTGTATATTCTGCTGAAATTGTTGGCCACATCCTACAGAAGCCATCTTGGCTGAAGATGAGTGATATTTGAGCTTTTACAACAGCTCAGGCAGGTGAAGAGATAGCTCAGAATTCTGCATGCATGTGATATCTCTTCCCATTCACCCACTTGCCACTGTTGCTAACACCTTGAAAACTTCCATGCAAGGTAAAACAGTGAACCATGTTAGTTACTTTAAGAGAAGGAATGGGAGGGATCCTCTTTTGTTTTCGAGAAACAGTTTATTTAAATGAAATAGGAAAGCAAACAGCTTAGTCTAAATTCCTCTAAAGAAGCTAGCAACCTGAGTTTTTCATCATGTATCTTACAGGACCAGGAATGTGCAACACATTGGCCTTGAAAGCCCCGTGTCTCATAGAAACATAACTTCCTGGACCATTGCTCCCCCTCATTCAGTTTTGTTTATATACTATTAACTGGCAGCACTTCTTCATGATTTCCAACAGGAGTCTTTCCCAGCACTAAATGCTGGGAATTGAACCTGCAACCTTCTGCTGACAAAGCTTTTCCTTCTGAACTGTAGACCTGATTCTTCCTCCTGCTTCTTTCCTCATCTCTTTACAAGAGAAGAAACTGGCAAGGTAGGGTCAGTGGGGGCAGACAAGAAGCCCAGATACATGAAATTGAGTGACTTGGACAAGGTTTCTAAGAAGATAAGGATTTCTACCCACCGCATTTCAGCACATACAGTTCTTCAGTTCACTCTCATCATTAGTCATTGATAAACTTAGTCATAGCATGCCTCATATTACTGAGTGTAGGTTTACTTGGGCTGATGCATGCTGGAGGTACTCAGTAGAGTTGAAAGCACTCTTTTTGTTCATTGTTGGTTAAGAATGGTGCAGGAGCAAGATATGTGTATAAATACATAAATCAGTATATCTGCAACCTCAAAACCTTGGACAATTGATTCTGGAATCTTAGAATCACTGAATGTTGATGTAAATAGTACAGAGAGCAAGATAGAACCCTAAACAACACCATAGGCTTTCATGTTCTCCTAGCACCATCTGGGCCTTCCAGTCTCTTCTTTTCCCACCAAAATAGCCCCCCTTTCTTTTCTATGAGGTTGTGGTCCTGACCTTGGTAAAATAGCCAGCCTGGTTCTTTCCATGCCAGCTGCAAGAGATAGGGGATGGATTGTGGATTCCCTGCTGCAACTCAGAATGATGTCTCCATCCTCGGGTCTGGGAATCCAAAGTATCCAATTACTGCTTAGGCACTGTCTAGGGGCCATAGGATTGCTCCCTAATTTTTATCTGTTAAGCATTAATCAAACTGTACTTGGAACCTATTCTTAGTGTAGATTACAATTTTAGGGGTTTTTTTCCAGCGATGAGTGCACACAGCCCAGCTTGTGAATTTATAGCATTCAATTATACTGCTTAATCCATATGCGTTTCAACTGTTTTCAGAGGCATACAAGAGTTTATCTTTTATAATATGCAGCTGAGCTGTCTGTGAATTTTCAAACTAGATAGAACATTCAATGTTTATTCTATGACAGATGTCAACACCTGCTAAAAGGGGGAGAAGGTGGCACAATATATTACCCTAAAAAAGTTCTGGCATAATTTATATTAGCAATAATGTCCAGAAATTGGATAAGTTATTGGAACATCTCTGGGTCCATCTGGCTTTGTATCTGAAAGAAGCTTTTTCCAGCTGAAGTTTCTAATGCATAAATATTCATGTTGGCAGCTTCTATGCTGATATGAATAGCCATTCTACATACAGTATCTGTAAAATAACTGGAATAGTACTAGAGGGTACAGATTATGGCTAGTCTAATTTCTACTAAAGCAACTACACTTCCTGTTTGTGATAAATTGTTGTGTGAGACATATGGGGACTGCAGCCAAGAAATTAAAAGACACTTGCTCCTGGGCAAGAAAGCTATGGCAAATCTAGACAGCATACAAAAAAGCAGAGACATCACCTTGCCAACAAAAGTGCATATAGTCAAGGCTATGGTTTTCCCAGTTGCAGTGTATGACTGTGAAAGCTGGACCATAAGGAAGGCTGAGCGCCAAAGGATTGAGGCCTTTGAATTGTGGTGCTGGAGGAGACTCCTGTGAGTCCCTTGGACTGCAAGGCAATCAAACCGGTCAGTGCTAGAGGAGATCAACCCAGACTGCTCTTTAGAAGGCCAGATCCTGAAGATGAAACTCAAATACTTTGGCCACCTAATGAGAAGGAAGGGCTCCCTGGAGAAGAGCCTAATGCTGGGAACAATAGATGGCAAAAGAAAAAGGGGACGGCAGAGGATGAGGTGGCTGGATGGAGTCACTGAAGCAGTTGGTGTGAGCTTAAGTGGACTCCGGGGGATGGTGGAGGACAGGAAGGCCTGGAGGAATGTTGTCCATGGGGTCGTGATGGGTCAGACATGACTTCGCGACTAACAACAACAACATGAATGTTATATGACTGCTGAAATGAAAAATGATATCGGATAGCTCTCTCTCTCTCTCTCTGTGTGTGTGTGTGTGTGTGTGTGTGTCTTTCAAAAATCAGAAAATCTTTTGCCCTCATTTCTCATTTTGACAGTCCTTGGTATTTAGACTGAAGGGCTGAGTAGCCGGAGAATACTGTGATGTTCTGCATATTTCACTTGTTTGTACCCAGTGCTTCTGATGCAGCAGTACCTCTGGGAGTAAGCTATGCAGTCTTCCACAGAAGCTTGAGTTAAGGAGTAGTTTTTTTCCAGGAGGCAATGTCATAAATGGATACTTTGGTCCAGAATGCACAACATTTGTTGTGTAAGGCTTTCTAGTACTTGGGGAGCCTTCTAATTCTGGCTACTAACAGCTAATCTGTACTAGGTACCCATGGGGTACTGTTCTGAATGTTTCAGTCTGCAAACTTAATATTCTTCCTCAGGCTTTCTGCCTCCCAGTTCTTTTCATAATTGTATACTTGGCTTTATCTTCCATGTAATTTCATTTTACTCTTCTATGCCAGATAAGGCTGTACATAGGACTGGAGTGGACAGATGCCTATTACTGTGAACTAGATATTTAGGAGCTAAGTGTCCTCCTAAAGGAGGTTGAAAGTACAGTCATATATAGATGTACTTGCAAGTGAGCTCCACTTACTTCAAAGAGCATGTAGAATTTCAGCTTTCCTCTGCAAGCTAAAAAT